GCGATAGCGACAGTGTGCATGTTCCTGGCGGGCAAGGTGGAGGAGACGCCGCGTGCGCTGAGGGAGGTGGTACAGAAGAGCTTCGACGCGCAGGCCAGGAAGGACCCCGCCGCCGCTGCCAAGCTGCCCCACAAGGTGCCAAGCTGCCCCACAAGGTGCCAAGCTGCCGCCCAACGCACGATGCACGTTGCGGCAGTGATTTCGCCCTGCTCTCATACGCAACCCACCGTTTCGCCCTGCTCTCATACGCAACCCACCGTTTCGCCCTGCTCTCATACGCAACCCACCGTTTCGCCCTGCTCTCATACGCAACCCACCGTTTCGCCCTGCTCTCATACGCAACCCACCGTTTCGCTCTTTCGCTCGGCTCGCTCACCTGCTGCTGCTCCCCATTCGCTCCTGCGCATCTTCCCTCCATTTCCCGTGCGTGAGGGCTGTACCAGGAGGAGCAGCAGAGGGAGGTGGTGCTGGTGGGCGAGGGGCTGGTGCTGGCGACGCTGGGCTTCGACCTCAACGTGTCCCATGCCTACAAGCCCCTGGTGGCCGCCGTGAAGCGCTTCAAAGTGGCCCAGCAGGCGCTCGCCCAGGTCGCCTGGAACTTCATCAACGATGGGTCAGTGAGGGGGAGAGAGAGGGGAAAGAGGTGGGACTGTGGGGATAAGAAGGAGGGGGGAGATGTAGGGGAGATGGGGGAGGGGAGGAGGGGGGATAAGGCAGGGAAGGTGGTTGAGGGGAAGGGGGGACGGAGTGTGGTGGTGGTGGTGTGTGGAAAGGGAGAGTTTATGTGTGTGCCATCCCTCCCGATTCGTTCGTGCTGTATGTGCTTCCTGCCATCTCCCGCTTTCCCACGCCCAACGTGCTCCTCTGTCTTCCTGCCTGCTAAACCCCAACCCCCTTCCCCCCCCAGGCTGCGCACGTCGCTGTGTCTGCAGGTGCGCGCGGAGCAGTTTGCGGCGGGCGCCATCAGCCTGGCCGCCAAGTTCCTGCGAGTCAAGCTGCCGGGCGACAGCCACTCGCCCTGGTGGGCCGACTTCAACGTCACGCCCACACTGCTCCATGGTGCGCCCACACTGCTCCACGGTGCGCCCACACTGCTCCACGGTGCGCCCACACTGCTCCACGGTGCGCCCACACTGCTCCACGGTGCGCCCACACTGCTCCACGGTGCGCCCACACTGCTCCACGGTGCGCCCACACTGCTCCACGGTGCGCCCACACTGCTCCACGGTGCGCCCACACTGCTCCACGGTGCGCCCACACTGCTCCACGGTGCGCCGCCCTCCACACTCACACGTGGGCCGTGCTGCCATCTTGTTCACCTGCCTCATGCCATCTTGTTCACCTGCCTCATGCCATCTTGTTCACCTGCCTCATGCCATCTTGTTCACCTGCCTCATGCCATCTTGTTCACCTGCCTCATGCCATCTTGTTCACCTGCCTCATGCCATCTTGTTCACCTGCCTCATGCCATCTTGTTCACCTGCCTCATGCCATCTTGTTCACCAGCACCGTGCAAGCTGTGATGCTGCCTGCCATATCCCTTTCCACACACCACGTTCTTTCCACTCTCGCATTCTTCCAGTGTTGCACACCCTCCCTCGTGCCTCCCCTCCCTCCGTCACGCCCTCCCCCGCTTGGTGGCACAGACGTGAGTGTGCAGCTGCTGGAGCTCTACGAGCAGGTGCGCCTCGCCCCCACCCCCAACCCCACTGCCATTGCTCCTTCCGCCGCTGCTGCCGCCCGCGGCACCAGCAGCAGCGCGGCCTCGCAGGGGAGGGCGTCCGCTGGCGCCGTGAGTGACTCGCGCGGCGGCCCTGCTGCCGGGGGGGCTGTGGGCGCGCCGGGGGTGAGACGGCACAGCGACGGGGAGAGGCCGCGCGACGTGGACAGAGGGGGCCCGCGCGAGAGTGATTGGAGGAGAGAGCGTGAGGGGGTGAAGGGTAGGGTAGGGATGGGAGGGTGGGCGGTAGCGTGGGAGGTGAGGGTGGCGCGAGTGGGGATGGCGGGAGGAGGGCGGGTGAGGCAGGCCCAGTGGAGGAGAGGGGAGGGCGGCCGAGTGGGGGCGAGTCAGAGCATGGCGGGCAGGGTGGCGAGGCCCAGCGGCGAGGCCGCGATGGCGCAGTGCATGCCAGGGACGGGGGGGACGGTAGACGGGGCAGCGAGGGCAGCAAAGAGGGCGTGGAGGAGGAGGATGGGGAGATTGGCGAGTGGTCAGGCGGGCACGCGGAGGCGCGTGGCAGCCCGCCTCAAGGGGGGGCGGGCAAGGGGGGGCGCGGCAGTGCGGTGGATGAGAGCGATGGTGCGGAGGGGAGGAGGAAGAGGAGGTGGGGCGGGGAGGAGGAGATGGAGTATGAGGTGCTGCTGGCTGACGTGGACGCGGGGGCGCGAGGCACAGGGGGTTCGAGGGAGAGGGAGAGGGAGAGGGAGAGGGAGAGGGAGAGAGACAGAAATGAGACGCAGCAGCCGTGGGGTGGGGTGAGGGATGGGATTGGGGAGAGGCGGCAGCAGGTGAGGGCTCGCGTGGTGTCTGTGGAGGGAGGGGCGGGTCGTGATGGGGCAGGCGGAGTGGGCGGGAGGGAGGAGGGCGAGGAGGGCGAGGCGGGGGAGAGATAGGGGAGGCGGGGGAGGTGGGTGTGGAGGAGCGGGGCCGGGGGGATGGGGAGGATGGTGGGCGAGCAGAAGGCAGGGGCGGCAGGGTGGCATGGATTGGCATGGAGGGGCGGAGCGCAGTGCCATGGATCTGAACCGGCATGGAGGGGCGGAGCGCAGTGCCATGGATCTGAACCGCGCGGCGGAGGAGCCGGCAGCAGCGCGCAGCGGTGGCAGCCGGGGTGGGGCGAGCAGCCGAGCGCTCTCTGGTGCTGCCGGTGGCAGCAGTGCTGCTGGTAGAGCTGATCAAAGGGGCTCAAATGATGGCGAGGAGCACAGAGGGGTGCAGCGCGGTGCGTTGAGGCGAGTTAGAGATGGGGAAGAGCCAAGTGATGGTGATCGTGATGGTGATGGGGAGAGTGGGAGTGGGAGACACAGGAGTGGTGGCGAGTGGGGACGGCACAAGAAGGCTCGCATGGACCCATGACCATGATCATGGGAGCACCACGCCGTTAGTTCCTTTACCATAATCGCCTGGGCAAGCCACCCTACCCTAGGGTCGGTCGGTAGTGTCTAAGTGGTATTTGTCATGTTGATGTTACAATTGGTAGGCTAGGTTAGGGTTTGGTACCCTTGCATACCATTCAATACACACCAAGGCCTTTTTTATCAATGTAAATTACCGGTACTTTGTTTCTCTGAAAATCAAAGTACGGTACTGATAATATTCGAAAGTTGCTCAGGCATTTTTTGTTTTGATTTGTTTTTTTTCTCTATACAGAGTACAGGCCCATACCTCCAGGCCCTCAGATTCACTTTTAAGCACGTAAGGGTATCAGGGTCCCTCTGCCTAGAATCCCTGATCGACAGGGTCGCCTAAAAAAAAAGGCCTGAAAGTTCAGTGTTACTTTCAGTAGGAATCACTTTCAGGGTCAAATTCGTTACAACATAGTGTCATCAGTGTCACTAAAAAAAAATGGCTGAAAGTTCAGAGTCATGTGGCATGTAAAGGCTGGAAAATCAGCCCCGGAAAAAGCTGAACACTGGAAATTCAGGGTAGGTAAAAAAAAAAAAACCTCTAGAAAGCAGGAATTTCAGGGAAAAATTCCTGATATCGTAGGGCCTGCATACCCCTCCTTCGTTTGTTAGCGTTAGATTGATAGTGTTACGAGTATTATGTAACGAAGGCTCTAGTGAATAGTGCTGCGATCAGAAGATGATCGCTGCCAGGATCTCCTCGGGAAGGTTCGCACGCAGGTAGATAGACTAGGTGGGCCCTTGACCTCAATAGCAGAGTGAATGTAAAATGCTTGAGATGAATTAAAACATGCAAATACAACGATATAAATAAGAGTACAGGGGAATACGAAACGACCTAACTAGCCATGTACTCTAAGGGGTACATTCCCTTATTCAAATTCATTCCCAACCGTGCGGCGCGTACAGTTATGAAACTGTTCCCGCCAAAACCATCCTGCCTGCAGCTGCCCGATGCCGTCTGCTCCGACGGTCCAGATGCACCCTAACCGTCTGACGCTTCGAGCATTCTGACTCTTCGTCTTCGTTCTCGATACTGCATGCTTCCTTAGCTGCGGTCGGGAGTGCACTGTAGTCTTCATTCATTACTATTCGTAACAAATAGGATAAGTCTGCTAAGTCTAGGAGGAGACAGTAAAGTCTCTGTAGTGACCTTGTTGGATAATAGTTGAAAGAGAACAAGATGATTACAAGATAGTAGTGCAAGACATTAAATAGCAAACTAGCTAGCCATGTACTCTGAGGGGTACATTCCCTTATTAACTGTATTGCATGATTACAGTAATCACGACTATTGCCATTCTCGACAGTTACCATGTTGCCGCTGAGGGGGGTGGTGTGTGGGAGTCTAGGGTTTGGGGTTTAAGGGGGGGTACCGTGGGAGTGGAGCTAGGGGTGAAGCAAGGGGTGTGTGTCGAGGGGTGTGGGACTGTTGGGGGAGGTTGAGCGGAGACTGCCGTCGTGTCGTCCGCAGCACCTGTATTCCGGGGTTCCGCGGACCTCCGGTAGCTCAGAGAGCCGGCTGCACCTGTCGCCCGTGGGTCCGCTGCACCCTCCGCAGCGACTATTACCCCTGTAGTCCGGGGCTCTGCTTCCGGTAGCCACTAGCGTTGCGCCAGAGCCGTCTGATGCCCGTGTGTCTGCAGCTTCAGTCGTTGCCTCCACTCCTTTCTCCTCTCGCCAGCCCTCCTCCTCCTCATTTGTCCTCTGTGACCGCCTCTAGCTTTGCTCATAACTTATAAACTGTTGCTTCTTGAACTTGTGCTCAGAATGTGTGGTGACATCGTGATCCACCCTGAGCTTGTACTGCTTTGCTTGCTCTGCTGATTACACCCCACTTTGGCTATGGGGGTGTGTCAGAATGTTATATTTGTCTAGCCTGCAGTGGGGTACTCTATAGCGAGTACAGCCCAATCTAGGGTTCCTATTTGTACTCAACTGCCTGCTAGTCGAACTCTCTCTTTTTTGCCTAATTCTCTCGACACAGCAGTGGGAGACGGAGGAGGAGGAGCAGGGGACGGCTCACACACACGGCACCCCCATACCCTCCACCCCCAAACCCTAACACAGGAACGCGGGCAGTAGCGGGGGTGGGGCGCCGGCAGAAGCTCGGGGGACGGACGAGGCGCGCGCACGGGCCTGCCGCAGGCCGGACGAGGCGCGCGCGGGCTGCCCGGGCCGCGCGCGGGCCTGGCGCAGCCCGTACGGGCCGCGCGCGGGCCTGGCGCAGGCCGTACGGGCCGCGCGCGGGCTGTACGGGCCGCGCGCGGGCCTGGCGCAGCCCGTACGGGCCGCGCGCAGGCCTGGCGCAGCCCGTACGGGCCGCGCGCGGGCCTGGCGCAGGTCGCGCGGGCCGCGTCGGGCGACGGGGGGCGACGCGCGGGTCCCTGGGGGCTTCGCGACGGGCGACGGGGGGCGACACGCGGTTCGACGGGGCAGAAAACCGCCGCGCGCCCCGAGCGCGCGGCGGGAAGAAAAATCGCCGCGCGCCCGGGGCGCACGGCAGGCAGGAAATAGCTGGAAGTAGCAGCGTAAGCATCGTGGGGCCCACAGGCCAAGGACGTAACGGCTCTGTTACCATGTCAAGATACTAAGCACCCAGAGAGCTAGGTTTAGGCTTAGAAAGCATAGTTAGGAGTAGGAGCTAGGGCTTAGCCTAGACACAAGAGAGATGTCCAAGCAAGAAGGGCTTGCACTATGGAATGTTGGGTACAAATAGAAGAGAAGCAAGCTAGGAGTGGTGCACCACCACACAGAATACAGTTGCGACTACACTAGAGCTAGATTGCATGCACTTATACAAAACATATGCAATATATGTTCTGACATCTTGGTGATTCCGCTGAGGTTGGCGTAGCGTTGGAACTGCTGACGTGACAGTCTCTTTGTCAGAAAATTTGTTGCCATGTCACCGGTCGGGCAGTACGTGAGCTTGACTTTCCCCTTGTCGATTTCGTCCTTCACGAAGAAGTAGCGAAGTGTAATGTGCTTCGTGCGGTTCATGAATCCGGGTTTGTATACGATTATGATCGCACTATGATTGTGAATAACGTGAAGTGCCCATTCATTGTCAATTTTGTTATAGTCTAGAGTCCACTTAGGGGTCGCGGATGCCCATGAAACCGCCTAAGCAGAAACTGATGACTCCAAACCGCCTCTGTTCAAAACGCCGTCACGATCAGCTCCGATAACATACGAGGACGAAACTTGGACAGCAGTTAGCCTTAGGTGTCTGCTTTCCAACGGTGTATTGCGTGCTTTCATCAGAGGTGTATGCGCTACGCAGTGAACGAAAACGTAAGCTCGGCTGAAAATCATGTATTCTCACTGATGCAAGGAAGAGGTGAGTACAACATTGCCTAGGGGACTCTTAAGGGGTTGGGATCATCCTGGGAACTCAGAGAAGGTTTAGGGTTTAGAAGGATGGAAACGTCCTAGCTAGGTCAGCAAAGCCAACCACACATGGATGTTCAGAGCTGTACTCAAGGCTACCAATAGTGAGTCAAGCCAACCATGAGTCAGCTTGTCTTCCCACTTGCACCCTCTTGCAAGCTGCTTCTAGGAAGACCACACTTCTCAAAAGGAGGGTGGTAGAGTCCCACTTGACCACCTGTACTTCTTGTCTCATTCTCTGTCCCTGCACCATTGGCATGACAACAATGAAAGGGTGGCAAGGGAAATGCTGCCAACAGTGCACCATGACTACGGAACAAGGACTTTCGACAGCTGTCACGCAATGCTCCGATGTTGGATCGTTCTGAAACTTGGTGACCACCTGCATCGCGGGGCGAAGGACTGCCAGACCAAATTTTAGACCAATCAGAGCTCGGTAGACGAGTCAGCAGCCGAAATGGTGAACTCGGGTGTTACCAAAAAGAGTAACACACACTTCCGGGATGCCATAAGTCTTGAAACTTAAAATGTTGTCATGCCTTGTTAACTGCTTCAAAAACTCTGAAACTTTGAGGGTTTGAAGAACACATGTTGAACAACCTCCCCACAAAATTCCAGAAGCTGAGCAGGCTTGTAGGCCGAATGGGAGTGCGATGACCGTGCCACTGTAATGTGTTGGCACAACAAACTCCCCCTCATCGTGCTCTCATTCATCCCTTAGCTGCTCCCTGAAGCTGCCTCCCTTAGTTGAAGGACATGCCACACAAGGTGGCACAGGTCCAATGCTGATGCTCTGCAAGCCGCTTGGTCAAAAAATCTGCAGGTTGCTTGGTAGTGTTGATGTAGTGCAAGGAGACCGTGCCCTTCTTCACCTCCTTCCTCACCCAATGCCATTTGATATGCATGTGCTTGTTCAGCCCATGGAGCACAGCATTGCGAGCCATTGCAATTGCTCCTTGGCTGTCACAAAACACAGGTGTAGGACCCTCTTGCTCCTGCCCCAACTCCTCAAGCAACCTCCTCATCCAAACCACCTCCTTCACCCCATGAAACAACGCCATGTACTCGCTCTCCGTTGATGAGTGAGCTATCTC